GGAGAAAAACTAAAAGTTTTTCTCTAAAATTAGGAACAAGGCAAGAATATTCACTCCCATCACTTATATTCAATATAGTTCTTGAAACTCTTGACAGAGAAATCAGGCAAGAGAAGGAAATTAAAGGGATACAAATCAGAAAAGAAGACATCAAACTATCATTGTTTTCTGATGACATGATCCTATATTTAAAAGACCCCAAAAAATTGAACTAGAAGACTTCTAGAGCTGATAACTAAATTTAGCAAAGAATCAGGATACAAGATCAACATTCATAAATCAATAGCTTTTCTGTATTCCAACAACAATTCAATTGACAAAGAAATCAGGAAAAACATTCCTTTCACAATAACCTAAAAAAATCTGGGAATTAATCTAACCAAAAAAGTCAAAAGAACTTCACAATGGTAAGACAGAATACTGAAGAAAGAAATAAAAAAAGAACTCAGAAGATGCATAGGCCTTCCTTGTTCTTGGGTAGGCAAAATTAATGTTGCCCAAAATGGCTGTACTATCAAAAGTAGTATACACATTCAATGCAATTACCATAAAAATACCAATGACATTTTTCACAGAACTAGATAAAATGGTCTTTAAATTCATTTGGAATAATAAGAGATGTAGAATAGCCAAAGCAATTCTAGACAAGAAAAATGATGCAGGAGGCATCATAATACCCAACCTCAAATTCTACTATAGTAACAAAAACAGCATGTTACTGATACCAAAATAGACATGAAGGCCAATGAAATAGAATACTGAGGATAGAAGACATTGAGACAAACCCAAATACTTACAGACATCTGATACTTGATAAGGATGCTAAAAGTGTATGTTGGAGAAAAGACAACCTTTCTAACAAATTGTACTAGGGGAATTATATATCTATATATAGAAGAATAAAATTAGCTATCTTTCACCCTGCACAAAAGTCAAATAAAAATGGATCAAAGGCTTAGGAAGTAGACCAGAAGCCATGCAACTGTTAGAATGGTCATCATGTGTTTTCTTCTATCAAATAGGTATACACATTCAATGCAATTACCATCAAAATACCAATGACATTTTTCACAGAACTAGATAAATCGGTCTTTAAATTCATTTGGAATAATAAGAGATGAGGCACTGACCTCAACAAGACCCCTAAAGCTCAGGAAATAGAACCAAGAATCAATAAATGAGATGCCATCAAAATAAAATGGTTTTGCACATCAAAGGTAATGATTAGGATAGTGAAGAGAAAGCCAACAGAATGGGAAAAAGCAATCTTTGTCAGCCAAAAAAACAATTGTTTGCCAATCCCCTGATAGGGGATTAATATCCACATATATAAAAAACTCAATGCCAAAACCCACAAATAATCCAACTAAACAGACATTTCTCATAAAAAGAAATACAAATGGCCAATAAATACATGAAAAAATGTTAAACATCTTTAGCATTAGGGAATGCAAATCAAAACTACACTAGGATTTCACTTCACCCCACTCAGAATGGCAATTATCAAGAACACAGACAATGATAAATCTACTGAGGATATAAGGGAATAGGTATATTCGAATGTTGATGATGAGACTGCAAATTAGTATAGCCACTATGTAAAGCAGTGTGGAAACTCCTCAAAAAAACTAGGAATGGAACCATCATATGTCCCAGCTACCTCACTATATCCTTCATATTTCAGGAATATACCTGTAAGAACAAAAATCAGCATACTATAGAGACGTAGGCATTTCAATGTTTATAGCAGCATAATTCACAACAGCTAAATTATAAAATCAATCTAGATGCTCATCAACAGATGAACGGATCAAGAAAATGTGTTATATATACACAATGGATTTTACTCAGTCATAAAGATAAATAAAATAATGGTGTTACTGGCAAATGAATGAAAATGGAGAACATCATGCTAAACGAGATAGAGCAGGTTGAGAAAATCAAGAGCCAAATATTTTCTCTAATATGTGGAAGCTAAATCAAAATAGGGAAAGAAGATGGCAGGGGAGGAGACAGTATATCATAAAGATATAAGGTAGAAGAAGAATGAGAAGGAGGGAGGAAAGAAGGGAATAATGTAGAAATATGTAATGAATTTAACTATATAATGTTATATACATATGTAAGTGTACCAAAAAGAATTTCACCTACATGTATATGTATGTAGAAAATTTCAATAAAAATAAATAAATAATGGAGTAAAAGGAAGATCAATAGAAGAGAGGGGAGAAAATTAGGGGGGTGGGGAAGGGCACAGGAAATGGGGATTTAAACCAAATTCTTTGAAAGTGTTATTTTGTGAATATGAATCCAATTAGTATGTATAATTATAATGATCTAATAGAAAAAAAAGCTCAGGCTTTCATATATATAGCACTGAAAGCAGCTCCAGCAATAAGAGAAAAATATCTAGGAGAAAGGAATGAGTGCAGCACACGTATATAAATGGTCACCCAAGAATTTAGAATGTACTGAGCACAGAATAGGGAATAAAAGATCATGCATCTTTAGTTCTCTCACTTTGCCTTTCCTACTCTTCAAACCAACTTACCTTCTCGGTTTCCTTTGATTCGTGTTGTAACATGGATATATATGATAGGGAATATAGATATGATCAGAAATGTAAGCAGAATTACCAACCAAATTGTCATCTGCAGAAACATTTTCCGCCCTAATAGAAATGGAGAGTTAACAGAAATGAAGAGTTAATTGAATTGGAAAGTTACTGATCTTACTTCTTAGAAAATTTGGGGTGTTGGACCAACCCAATTACGAATGATGATTCATACAAAGCAGGTTCCCACTCAAGATACCATCACCGTGGAATATTAAATACAAACCAGTTTGGAGAAGTATTTATGACTGGGTGGATGAAAAATAAAACCAGTTCTAGAGTGAGGCTGAGCCAGGTATGAATTATTGTAAGGCTGGCACAAAGGTGAGCACAGGACACTCTATTTCTCCTCATCCATTCAGTCTCATGAGCCCTCCGAGTACAAGAGGCAGAGCTAAGCTATTCTCCCTAAACCTGATCCATTACTTAAACACAGGTTTACAGGGACCATGATAAGGTCAGTCCCAAATCAATCCTTTAGTCCTCTTGTCTATCAGAATATGTGCAGCCTTGAATTATCCAATGTACTCTTTGGGTCTGGCATTACTCTTCTTGAAAACATTCAAAGACATAGTTTATGTAAAATTTCCTTCTCTCCTGTTCATCTGAACAAGCATCTGGTTTGGCCTACTAGCTTGTGCATATGGAACGTGACACAAGCCATTTTGTCTGGAAATCTGATGTCTTTCTTCCCAGAGGAAAAAACCCTCTTCCACCTAGAACACCACATTATGTCCTGCAATGCTGTTTGAGGAAATAAATCCAGGAGGCTGCTCTAGAGTCAGACAAGAGTTCTGCTATGCCATTGTGAATATTTGGTGTGGTCTAAAGCTATTTTGAGCTGGTGCTTTCCATACATGTAATTCATAGGACTAAGAGCCCCATGGCTCGGGAACTGATCCTACACCCTGAAAAGCCTCCCCACCAATCCAATGCAACCCAATGAGGTCAAAACAAACTTTTGCCTAATCACTAGTCAGACAAGGACAAATGATTTTTTAAAATCATGAATATTGACTCTTTCCAAGTATTCTGATATTCAGTGAATGAAACATAAGATGTCTCTGAAATGTCTGTATTTCCTGGAACTGAAACTTATTCTCCAATATTTGTGTTAATATAATTTTTTAAAACATAGGTTTTTAGTGCAATATTTGAAGCAGTTGATGTGTCTCAGTTTATAAAACTAACAAAGATCCCCACCTTTATTTTTAGAGAGGGAGAGCAGTAAGAGACAATAAGTATAATAATTAAGATATGCAGTGGTTTAGACAATAATAATACTATAAATGAAAAAATAAAGAAGTGTGAGGAGATAGGGGACCTCAGGTGGAGGGAGCAGGTTTAATTTTTTTCAGGTTGGTTTGTCAAAGCAGTCCTTATTAAGAAGCTGAGAGTTTAGCATAGACTTGAAGGAGACAAGGGAGGTTAGTGAGATTTACATGTTTCTAGGAAGAGGGAGCAACTAGAGTGAAGACCCCAAGGCAGGAGCTTATCTGCGTATACGGGGACAGCAAGGAGTCTATGTGTCTCAAGTGGACAAAGGAAAACACCAAGAGATAAGGTCAGCTAGGTAACTGGAACACAGGCAATACAGGATATTGTGGGTTATTTTGCTCTGAGTACAATGGGGAACAATTGCAGGATTTTGAAAGATTGTGGTGTTTTATGTCTCATGTTTGAGATGGGTCTTGTTGTCTGCATGATGAGCATATACCATGTGAATATGAGCAGAAACAGAACATTTTTAAGGTGCTATTTCACTACTTCACTCAGTGGAGGATGGTATCTGACTTGGACAGCAGTGATGAGGTGGGGAGAAGTGATGAGACTCTGGATATATTTTAGAGGTAGATGTAGCATTATTTCTTGACAGATGTTATATAGAATATGAGAAAAAATGTAGTCAAGGATGAGTTTAAGGGTGTTGTTCTGAGAAATTGAAACTATGAATTGTGATAGGGAAGGCAGTAACTAAATCAGGAGTTTCATTTTTTTATATACATAGCTTCAGATACTTACTAGACTCCTATGTTGAGATGCTGAGTTGGAGATGAGAACAGAGTGGGAGAGAGGTCTGGCCAGAAGATGTGATTTGAGAAGCCATCATCATATCGATGGTATTTAAAGCCACAAGGCAGAATAATACTCGTGAGATAGTAAAAATTGAAAAAACTATGCCCTGGGAATTCTAATATCAAGAGAACAATAAAAAATAATGAATGTGGTAAAGAGAATAAGAAAGACAAAAAGCAAGATGATTGATAAATCTAAGAGGAAGTAATATCTTGGAAATCAAGTGAAGAAAGCAATTGAATTTTTCTATTTGTTTATAAATTGTGTGACAAGGGCTATAATTTGATTTTTTTTTGGTTCTGTATATATATCATGTGACAATGGCTATCATGTGGAGAACAAACACACAGATCTCACCTGGTAAAACAATGTTTGTCTTTTCCTCTTGGCCAGTTAGAGGGTTTCTAAGGTAGCAAGTGACATCCCCAGGGTGGGTATTGCTGAGAAAAAGGGTCATCTTCATGTTGAACAATTTATCTGTGTCCTGTGAGTGAGATTTTGATGCAGGTGGGAGGACCTTTCCCTGGCTGTCTCTCCATTCCATTTGAGGCTGTGGGAACCAACCTCCTGAATTACATTCCACTCTAAGATCATCAATATTGGAAGGAAGCACTAGAATCTGTGTGTCTGAGCTTGTAGCTGAGTGGATATAAAGGGGGAAAATAGTACTTTTAGGTGAAGGGAAGAAGACACAAAACAGAAATAAAATCTGTCCCCCTCAATTCGATATCAGTGTCCTTGATATATTGTTAGTCAAAACTCTATGGGGATTTAAATACCATAAGATGCTAATTAAAAGGGAAGGAATATGAGCCAAGCAGAGGGGTTATAATATACAAGATTATCTTGTCTCAAATAAGTCAGGTGAGGAAATACCTTTTTATTTCATTTATTTATTCTTTCATTCAAAAATGTTTACTGGTTATTTACTAAATCTTAGAGTTTACATAAATATTTGGATTATAATAATGAATAAAAAAAACAATCAATATTCCAGAACTCATAGGTATTATGACTTAATATCTTTTCTTCTATTTTATACCTAATCAGTTTTGAACCATTATGATAAATGATAGTCGATAACATTATTAACCCAGGTTTGCAATTTAAATTGAGACTTTATATGTTCTTTGTATGCAACAGGTATTTTCATATAATATGCTTTGCATAAATAGGTAATATACTGGTATCACTGAAATATAATACATATTCATTTAAAGAAAATAAACTTATGAAAAATTTTAACTTATTGCCTGGGGCATAAAACTGATAAAATGTGTGGGCAAAGAAAGAATGAGTAGAGATTTAAAGTGTAACCCCATAGCAGGTCTGCTTAATAAAACTTTCTGCAATAATAAATATAATCTAGATCTGTGCTAATACAGTGGCTATGTGCTATAGGAAATTGATAAGTACCTGAAATGGGGCAATTGAGATTTCAGAATTGTATGTTTAATTTTATTTAATTTTAATTAATTTAAATATAAATTTAAAGGGCCACATAGCATTGAATAGCTCAGATATAGACTATAGAATTGGATGTCATATAATGTCTGATAAGGATGTTAAAGGTTAGTGGCCTTGGAGCCCTACATTTGAGTGCTCACATTTGTGGAATCTTTCAGTTTGCTCGAAATTCTCCATCTTCCCTGCATTTCTCTGTCAATCAGAATAATTTAAAGAGTGAGAAGCGTGACTTAAATGCTTTATATGTGCATATACCATTTTTATACCATATATAACTAAGGACACTGGATATTATAGATAAAGGCTTTCTGAAATAGATTTAGGAAAATTAATCTGGCACTAAGTAGTCAGTAAACTGAGTTAGAGAGAAGTGAGAATAAGAATTATCATTAAGGAGGCTATTGTAAAGATATAGGTTGCTTGTAAGTTCACATTTTTAGTAGTGTTGTCAAAAATAATTGAAAGGGTTACAGCAAATACTAAAATGAATCTGTTGATTTTTTAGAAATCTAATAATGTATGTAGGCATAAAAATAAGGTATTTGCTGGTAGAGTTATTGTCTGCACAGAAACAGTTTTCATTCTTGATCCTGAACTCTTTCCGGTTCAAAAACTAAATGCACGAATTTGAACTTGCTAATTAAATCATGTAATAAAGAAATAGTCTGAAACACTGAGAGTTTTTCTAATACTCAGCCTCAGATGGGTTGAGAATCATGTATGCATAAAAACCTCAGAGGGATCCATCTCACCTGTGACCTTCACTTCTGTGATGTCCTCTTCAGAGAAATCTCCATCTCTGAAGAAGCAGTGGTACTGCCCATCATCATCAACATCAACATTAAAGATCCTGAGGGTCACTTTACCTTCTTCAATGGCATCTTTCAGGAGTTCTGTCCGCTCCACATACATAGGGGTCATTTCTCCATACAGAATTTTACCTTTCTCATACAGGTAAATGGGTTGTGTGTAGCGGTTGCGGAACCAGCGGATCTCCATGTGTTGTGCACTCTGTGGTGGAGACAACTGGCAACTGAGTTCAACTTCTCCACCAAATGGAGCCACGATTGGCCCCTTTAAGCAATTTACCCTGAATTGTTCTGGGAAGGGAAACAATAACCAAAAGGTGAGAGTATGAGTTAGGACACATCTTCTATTTAAATCATTATTGTATCTCTCTCTCTCTCTCTATTTAAATCATTATTGTATCTCTCTCTCTCTCTCTCTCTCTCTCTCTCTCACACACACACACACACACACACACACACACACAATCTAACTAAAAGTAAATTCTTTTTTTTTCCCTGAAGACATCTTCATTTCACACTAGACAGGATAGAAGTTCTTCAAATTGTTTACCTTAAGAAATATGAAAACATGGTTTTCATTGCTGCTAAAGTTTATATTTTTGTTAAGAAAAAGTTTATTTGTTGTTCCTTCCTTCTTTCATTCTCTTACTTTGTCTATTTTAAACCTTTCTCTCAGACTTCTTTTAATATTTGTACTTTAATAAACCTGTATATGAATGTACCCTTCTTTTTCTGGTTAATCTTCATGAGGCTTCTTGAATTGGATGTTTCTTGTCTTTCAATTCTGAAAAATTCTTCCTCATTGCATGTTTAATTTTATTTCTCTCATTGTCTATATTCTTTTTATAATGGAACTCTCTCAACTGTCTTAGGAATTATCAGCAAGACATCCAAAATTTCTACAACCTGCTCCTCCAGGCTAAGTGCTGTCAAAAAATAATTGAAAGGGTAACAGCAAATCCTAAAAGGAGTCTGTTGATTTTTTAAGAAATCTGTTGTTGTTTAATATGTTGTTTTCCCTTTTTGGTATAACTTGGCTGTAACAGACTCTCTTTCAGTCTAGAGACTCAAACTCTCAAATTGATATTTAGTCCCTGACTGGAGTAAAATGTTGGAACAGGGGACAGTTTAAACTAATTTTTGTCCTTTTTACCACTCACTGAAGGAAGAATGAAAAAACAGCTGAACTTCTTAGTACACTCCATTTCTCCTACATGATGGCGATCTTACTTCCTTCAATCCCTTCTATTCGATTGTCACTTAATCAAGATGACCATATCAGTTTAGATTTTTCTCACCCTTGGTAGCTAAACAGTCTCAAGAACCAATGTGTGATTGATCAATTTATATTTTAAATATTAAAAGTTATTTTGTGTATGGAAAGAAATGCTATATTAGGTATTGACTGTTTAATCCACAAATTATTATGTGCTTATGTTTTTTTTTTTTTTTGTATCAGCGATTGAACCCAGGGGTGCTTAACCACTGAGTCTCATCCCCAGCCCTTTTTATTTTTTATTTTGAGATAGGGCCTCACTAAGTTGCTTAGGGCTTCACTAAGTTGCTGAGGCTGGCTTTAAACTTATGATCCTCCTGTCTCAGCCTTTCTAACCACTGGGGTAACAGGTGTGCGCCATGATGCCTGGGTTATATCATGAATTTTTGAGGATAATTTTAAATATTGGAGCATTGCTAATGAAGTTAATCTTATTTCCTTAAACCATTAAATTATTAATTCATTTCTAAAATATAATTTTGTTTGTGCTCTAAATGCACATGTGACAGACAAAATAATCATAAATAGAGTGATTATAAACCAGTTTGATTTATCTTCATATCCACTAAAAATAATAATGATGAAAGGTTAAGTCATTTTATTATAATTCTCTACTAGTTTTAATATCTAACTAGATGTATATTTTGCTTTCTTCTTCTTCTTCTTTTTCTTTCTTTCTTTCTCTCCTCCTCCTCCTCCTCCTCCTCCTCCTCCTCCTCCTCCTCCTCCTTCTTTCTTCTTCTGTATGAGGATTGAACTCAGCCTCTCTACCACTGTGATACATTCTCAGACATTTGTAATTATTTTATTTTGAGACAGGGTCTTGCTAAATTGCCCAAACTGGCCTTTGTGATCCTCCTGCCTTAGTCTCCCAAATTTCTTGGATTAAAAGTGTGCACTCCCATTACTGAAGAGGAACTAATCTAACCTAAGTTTTCTGTCTGTGTACATGAATATACCACAGTGAATCTCACCATAATGTATATCCACAGACTCTAACCAAAAAGAAAAAAAATTTAAAGTAACTGGCAGAAAGGATTAGTAGAATAAAGAGAGAGGAAAGGAAACAGGGAGAGGAAGAAAGGAAGAGAAAGAGAAAATACTGCAGATTGCATTTGAACAAATTATATTCCATGGTTTTAAATTTTTTCCAGATGAATCCTATCATTATGTATCACCAAAAAGAAACAATAAAGAAAATGGTCAAAAAATTTTAAAAAAATAGTGGTCACCAGAGGCTGGGGAGGAAGACATTGGGAAAGGTTTGTTCATGGGCATTGTTATAATTTGATCAAAATGTAAGTCACATGAGGGAGACTATAAATAAGGATAATGTGCTATACATTTCAAAAAAGACAGAAGAAATGATTTTGAATGTTCACTACAAAAATTACAAATGTTTGAAGAGATATGTATGCTTCTTCTGATTTGAACATTATACAACATATACATGATTAGGAAAAATAAATACATGTTGACCAAGTTTTTTAGATGTACATTCAGTGCTGTTGCAAATATTAAATGAAATAATGTGTATTAAAATGCATTTTAATTCTATATTCACAACAATGATACACATCTTTATATTCATAATATGTGCTTTAAATAAATTATTAGCTTAGTCTAAAAATTAAAAATATGTATGTATTTTTATGTTAATAAATTTTCTGGTTTATCATCACCTTCCAGGAAACAAAAAGGTAAGAAAAAAATTCTTGAAGTTACAATTTAAAATATTAGAACATTTTCTATTAAAACCCACATTGCAGAAACCATAGCTCAGTGTAATAATTTGAGGTCACCAAAATAAAAATCTTTGAACTGTTTTTAAAAAGAAAGCATGTCTACAAACTTATTTTTTCCATTCTTTTAATTGGTATATATTAATTATTACAGATTGGTGAGGTTCACTGTGGCATATTGGTACATGCACATAATTTGATCAAGTTCATTCCCCAGTACTGCCTTTTAACTTTTGATGTCCCTTCTACTTTCATGACTTTCAAGTCCCCCTGTCTTTCATTTCACCAGCTTCCATATATGAGAGAAAATAAATGGTACCCCCACCCATCTTTCTGAATATGGCTTATTTTGTGTAATACAATGCTCTCTAGTTTTATTCATTTTCCTGAATAACATAATTTAGTTCTTCATTATGTCTAATAAAACATAATGAAGTGCGTGTGTGTGTGTGTGTGTGTGTGTCTCACATTTTATCCATTAATCTGTTGACAGACACCTAGGCTGATCCCATAACTTGAATTTATGAATTGTGCTCCTCTAAGCATGAGTATTCATTTATCTCTAAAGAATGCTGACTGGTTTTTTGATAAATACCAAGTGGTGGTATAGCTGGATATTATAGTTCTATTTTTAATTTTTTGAGGAAACATCATACTGATTTCCATAGTGGCTGTACTAATTCATATTTCTGCACAAAGTGTATGAGTTCCTTTACCTCTGAATCCTCACCATTTATTATTTGTATACTTAATAATCATCATTCTGCCTGGAGTAAGATGAAATTTCAATGTACTTTTGATTCACAATTTTCTGATGGCCAAAGATGTTGAACATTTTTTCATATAGTTGTTGGGTATTTGTAATTTTTCTTTTGAGAAGTGTCTCAAATTCAGTCAGTTTGCCCATTTATTGATTGTATGCTATATATGCTGGACAATATATATATATATATATATATATATATATATATATATATATATATATTGGAATATATATGTATATATGTATATGTATGTTTATGGATATACATATATGTATGTGTATATATATATTTGTATTGTGATATTATTTACATTGTGATGTCTTTAGCTTTTACTCTTTTTGATTGTTTTGGCTATTCTGGGTCTTTTGTTCTTCCATTTGAATTTTAGGATTGTTTTTCTAATTCTATGAAGAATAACATTGGTATTTTGATGGGGATTGCATTGAATCTGTAGATAACTTTTGGTAATAAAGCTATTTTAACAATAATTCTACCTTTACAGAATATAGGATGTCTTTCCATCTTTTAATGCCTGCTTCATTGTTTTTCATTCTCAAATATTTTATGTAGAGGTTTTTCACATAATAGATTAGATTTATTTCTAGGTATTTTTTAAGCTATTGAAGATGAAATTGCTTTCTATTTTTTTTCTCTGAAGAGTCATTATTGGTGTATAGAAAAGCAAGTAGAATGAATTGGACATAACTTTCCTATGTTCACATAATATAAGACCAGTGAAACTCCACCTCATGAACAACCACAAGAATTGAATCCTAAGTAGAATAAGTTATATTCCATGTATGTACAATGTGTCAAAGTACATTCCATTGTAATGAATGTCTAAAAGAACAAATAAAAAAGTAATGAATAAAAAGAAAAGCAATTGATTTTTGTTCATTGCTTTTGTCTCTTGACACTTTTCTGCATTTGTTGATCAGTTTTAGAAGTCATTTGATGAAATCTTTAGGTTATTCCAAGTATACAATTGTATTATCTGAAATAGGGATAATTTGATTTCTTTATTTACCATCATATCTCTTTTATTTCTTTATTTTGCATAATTGCTCTATCTCAAATTTCAAGTAATATATCAAATAAGAGTGGTGAGAATAGACATCCTTATCTTATTGCTGTTTTTTGAGGAGATGCTTTCACTTTTTTCCATTCAGCATCATGTTGGCTTTAAGTTTGTCATATATAAGCTTTATTATGTTGAGAAATGTCATTTTGTACCTATTATCTTCAGAGATTTTATCAAGAAGGGATGTTAAATTTTGTAAAATGTTGTAATGCATCTATTGAGATGATTGAATGGGCTTTCTGCCCTTGATTTTGTGTGCTGGGTGACACTTAATTGATATCTGTATGTGGAATCTCCTTGTGTTTATAGAATGAAACCAACTTGATCAAAGTGTATGTACTTTGTAATATAAATTTGCTTTGCAAGTATCTTTTTCTTCTAGTTTGTCTAAAGGTTTATCAGTGTTGCTTATTTTTTCAAAAAATCAT